ATGATACACTCCGCCCTTTTATTCCAGTACGCGAAGCACTGAAGGAGAAAGATCAAAAGGGCGATGAAAGGAGCAGTCGGCGCTTCGCCGAATAGTTTCGCGAAGCAGTACTATACCGCCCAGTGACACAGAGCACGACGACGCTGAAGACTAGTGCAAGACAGCGACGAACTACATCAAAGGGCGAATCACCAAGTTAATCGGCGATTCCGATTAACCTCGCCGAAAGATCCGCCAGCACTATTTTCTGAAGTCTATAAATACTAAACTTGTTATTAATTTTTAAAGAGTCAACCATTAATTTTAATTTCCAGAATAGAATAGTACTTTTTGGATATTTTCTCTCAAAATTTGGAGAGGGTTTTGGGAGACTTGAACAAAGAAGGATTTCATCTTCCCCAAGTTGAAAGTGGGTCTTCTCCATTCTTCTTCCTTTGCTTAAATCAAGGTTTAATTTCTTATACCTATTTGATTTTAGTATCATTTTAGGTGTACTTTGTTATTTCTTGATATGTGGCTAAAAACCCCCATTCTTGGGGTGAGATTTAGCAAATATGTGTTGATATTGTTGTTGGGTCTTGCTTGCTGATAGGTTATATGTATTTTTAAATGGGTTTGTAGTTATGGTTGTGGTTTAATTTAATGGGTTTGTAGTTGCAAATACAAAACCACCCATGCGTTTTCAGCTTGCCCGAGAGGGAGGTCGCGAAACCAAGACAACTAGATTGATGGCCTAAGGAGTGGGTCAACATGAGGTTCAGCCCGAGAGGGTGAGCCCTAGTCCCATATCCTAACACTCAGCGAGAGAGAGTGACTGGGGTAAGGCGTAGGCTGGTCTTCATGCGACAAATAGGTGTCCGAGAGGAACACATTTGTAACGGGGTAAGTTGCCGGAGAGGGAACTTATTTCAATTTAAAGCTTAGCCTAGTCACAATTGGCTTGCAAAATTGCTATTGAAAGCAAGTACCCAACAATTTATCTCAACTTGTATTGCGGTCACACCCCAAGAACTCTTCCCCATACTTGA